GAGCAGCGCTTCCTCTGTGACGTGGAAGACCTGGTATGCGTGGACGTGGATGCGGGAATGAAGTTCTGGGACCATGTGGGCATGGAGATCCTGTCCCCCCTCTTTGGCACCCCACACCCCGGTTTCTACTGGGCGGCCCCTGAGGACTTTAGCTACGAGCGCTGGCCACAGTCCCAGACCCACATCCCCAGGGACCAGGGCAACTTTCAATACATGGGGGCCTTTTTTGGGGAATTGGTGGTCGAGGTTCCCCGACTGACCTCGGCCTGTTACCAGGTGATGGTGGTCAGCTGGGCCAAAGGGATTGAGGCTGTGTGGCCCGGTGAGAGCCACCTGAACAGGTACCTGCTGGACCATGGGCCCACGAAGTTGCTGTCCCTGGAGGACCTGTGGGACCCACGGCTGCTGGGCTGCCCGCCCCATCATTCCCCTGGTCATGAAGAACCTGAGATCCATGGTTGTGCCCAAGAATCACCAGGACACCAGAACTCATCAAGCGCTGTCCCCAGAGGAGCTGTGTGACCCGCGGCTATTGGGCTGTCCCCTGAAGGAGCTGTGGAACCCGCAGCTGCTGGGCTAGCCCCTGTCATGAAGAAACTGAGATTCAGGCCAATGCCAAGAATCACGAGGACACACAGAACTCATGAGGGTCTGCCCCTAGAGGACCTGCAGGACCTGAGGCTGCTGGGCTGGCCTTCCATCATTCCCTGGGTCCTGAAGAAGCTGAGATCCCTGGCTGTGCCCAAGGCACCAGGACATCTGGAACTCACGCAGGGCTACCCCTGTCTCCATCAGGGGTTGTTGCCTTGAGCGGAGCCATCAGAGCAGATTCCTACTTCTGTTCCCTTGTGGGAAACTGTGGCGCCCAGCACTACTTGCATGGGCACGCCAATGCCCCAGCTATCCCTGTGCACAGGAGGCATGACTGGGGGCACAAGTTCCTCTCTTTGTGGTCACTACATTTTGATCATTTCGGGGTCATTTGCAGCTGTGAACAGCTCCAGTTTTATGTCGGATGTTTTTCTGTGTCAATGCTGAGCAACCATCTTTAAAAAGAACAATTGAGGGGGCGGAGCAAGACGGCGGAGGAGTAGGAGACCTAGATTTCATCTGGTCTCAGGAATTCAGCTGAATAGGGATCAAACCATTCTGAACACCTATGAACTCAAGAGGAGATCAAAGAGGAGAGCAGTAACAACTATCTGAACAGAGAAGCGACCACTTACTGGAAGGTAGGGCGTGCGGAGAAGTGAATCCGAGGCGATATTCGGGAGGATAGACGGCGGGGGAG